AAAAAAAATATTTTATTTTATGTTATTTTTGGCGGAACTAGGGATCGAACTCAGGCCCTTGCGCTTGCAAGGGAAGCACTTATTCTACTGAGCCATCTCCCCGGCCCCCTAGAAGTTCTTTTAAGAAAATGCTGTGAGACTGCATAAAACTTTAGAAGTGTATAATTTTCTTTGTGAGTGAAAGATAGAATGTTGGCTTTCTTTTTATGAAGGAAATGAACTAGGACTAAATAAATATGCCACAAAGATATAAAACAAAGTATGTTCACTACATTGGTCTGATAAAACCGTAACTTCTTTGATTTGAAGTATGTGAGGCAGTGAAGTTGATGACATCTCCTTGGGTGAATTATTTTTCTGCCTCAGATTTAGGATTTGAATATTTGTTAAATATGTACAGGACACATACTAGTTTTGCTCCTATGGTGACTGGTAGTTGTGTCACATGCAGTTCTTTAAGAGTCTCAGCAGTCTGTAAAGAAATCATATTTAAAAACTATATTTTTTTCATTTGTATATTTGGTACAGGGTTACACTATGCAGCTTGCACTTGTGGTGATCCTGATTTCAGTCTCCCCAGCTCTGGGATTACAGGCATGCGCCACCACGTCTGTATTCTTTCAATGGCTCAGCACACCCTGGGGGTGGGACTGGAGCAGCATGAGGTACTGGGGATTGAACCCTGGTCCCTGTGCTTGCCAAAGCAGGTGCTTAGTCCGCTGAACTATTTCGCTGGCCCTAAAAACTATTTTTGAATGGGACATTCTGTCGTTTGAAAGGAGAGTCATTTGGTGGCTCTTTACATTTTTTAAAAAAATCATTTATTTGGTACAGGTTGTTACTAGGCAGCTTGGACTTGTAGTGATCTTCCTGTTTCAGCCTCCCTTGTGCTGGGATTACAGGTGTGTGCCACCATGCCTGGTTTCAGGGTTGGCAAGGCACACCTCGGATTCTAGAGCTGGTGCAGCATGTGGTACTGGGGACGAAACCCCAGGGCTTTGTACTTGCAGGGCAGTCGCTTAGACTGCCCAGCCATCTCCCCAGCCCTGGTGGCTCTTCATAACTGATTTAGAAGGATAACCACTTTCCTAAAGAATTAAGGGTATTAAAAATATTTCTGAGTTCCAGAGTGTGATTATAGTTAATCTTCCTGAAACACAACTTTAGGCATGCCACTGCCTTTTAAAACATGAGTAGCTCCCTAGTGCCCTTGGAATTGGGTGAGCTGGTCTTGGGTCAAGTATTTAAGAACTCCTCAGGATGGTCCCCAAGTCCTGGTTCAGGTTGACCTCCTACTGCTTTTCTAGTCATATGCCGGCTTTCAAACTGGTATCCTTTTCATGTGCTCCTCTTTTTTTTTTTTTTTTTCCTGAACCTGGGATTCAACTCAGGCGCTTGAGCTTGCCAGGCAAGTGCTTATTCTACTGAGCCATCTCCCTGGCCCTGTGCTCCTCTTTTTAACTTATTCAAAGTGTATTTATTAAAAGTGTATTTATTTATTTATTTATTGTGTCTTACTGGTGGCCATACTTTTTCACTGCACCATTTCCAAGTTTTGGAAACTCTTAACAGCAAATTCTCTTGTACTCACGTGATTGAATGCATTCCATTATGTTCCTAATCTATATTTTCAGTCATTGTTTTAGTACATTCTAAACTAGCTGACATAAATCATCTAACATGGATCATCTGTTACTCAATTTTGTAATATGTTACTCATTTTTGTAATCTCTGAAACAACTAGTGTTTTGTATACAGTGATTCCTTAATAGATACTTAGTAAACTTTCTGTTCTTTTCTTTTAAAGAAAACCTCATACTCTATGTAGGATATTGCTAAGATTTACAGCTAATAAGGGCCAGCAAATAGGAATCCTGAGTTAAAAGCAGTATGAAGGAGGGCTATCTTCGTGGTGTGCCTTACTGCTGACAGTGTTTGGGAAGCCACCATTCCTGTCTTAACACCAATTCCTTGACCTTGTCGCTTTCTTATTTATGTGGCAAGAGGAAAGTTAAATGACTCAGAATATTGAGGGCAAGTAATTTTAGTATCCAAGAAAGTTTGAAAACGTGTAAAATAGTAAAAAGAGGATTAGGTTATTTAATATATACCACTCCATATAAATGTATCCTCCTGGAGGAAAATGAATCTTACTTGCCCCAAAATACGAGTCAAATTGGGAAGAAACCAGTTAACTAAGAGAAGCGACAGTCTCCTTGGAGAAGGGTGGGATGGTAAAGGTGAGTGTGGGCTTGGCTAACCAAGCATGACTGAGCACATTCTGAGTCAGAGCTCGCATGATCTGCTGCTAGATAAAGCTGTCATTAACTGTCTTGATTGTTTTTATTATTCATACTGAAAATAGAATAATTGAATTTTATTTTGTGATATGATTTTCTGCTTATGTTTAAAAATATAAGGATTCATTCATAATATTTCAGACTTGAAAGATCTGATTCTTTTTTTTTTTGGTGGTACCAGGGATCATACTCGGGACTTTGCACTTGCCAGGCAAGCACTTATCCCGCTGAGTTATCTCCCCAGCCTTGAAAGATCTGATGCCAAAGAAACTGTGAAGTTTATAGTTTCAAAGTTTAGTTTAAGTTAAAATTTTCTCTGGTTTTTTTTTTTTTTTGTGTGTTATTTCTGAGATATAGATTAGGGGATAGCACAAGTTTAAGAGAAAAAATGTAAGCGTTCAGCTTTTTTGAGATAAAGAGGTAGTGTGAACAGTAGAGGTGTAAAGGCATGGCCTTGTGCCCTCCGCTAGGATATTAACTAGACACTGGAACATTGGTAAGTGGGGGAATTCCCATAGGCTCTTATACTTGTAAAAGTGATGCAATTAGTTTTCAGGAAAGTTTTATGGGATATCAGAAAAATACTATAAATATTCCAAAGTAGATTATTTTCATGTGATAAGCACATTGCACATGCTACTAGATCAGAAAAGATCTGATGTCTGTCAGCATCCTGAGAAGCTAGATCCATCTACAGGGCCACTGTGCCCTGACTTGTTACTGTAAGAGGTGCCACCTGTTTAGATCAGCTCTGCATTTCATATATTTGCAAGTAGTACAGTTTAGTGCTCCTGAGTTTTGTATAGAGAGATTACTTATGTTGTTGATTATATAAGAAATAATGAAACTGCTTTCTTCAACAACAGTTTGTCCAGGGGAATTTTTTAAAATGTATTTTATACAGGGTCTATAGGGTCTATAGGGTCTCACTGTGTAGATGGGACTCATAGTGATCCTCCTGTTTTCAGCCTCCCAAGCGCTGAGATTACAGGCGTGCGCCACCATGCCCAGCCTCAGTGGTGCCTCAGTGTGCCCCAGGGGTGGGACTGGCACATGGCTGTCTCAGCACGCCCCAGGGGTGGGACTGGCACGGCACACAGGGGGATTGAACCGCGGTACCTAAGTCTGCCTAAGCAGGTCCTTTAATCCACTGAGCTGTCTGGCCAGCTGAATTGTTTTTCTATCATGAGAATTTCTTGAAGGTTTCAGTTAAAAGTAATTGAAGGTAAGCATTGTAGGGTGCACACATAGAAAGTAAAATGCTTTTCCTTTTCCTTTTTTCCTCGTAGGTGGCTTTCTAGAAGATGACCATAGAGGACCTTCCAGATTTTCCAATAGAAGGAAATCCTTTGCTTGGAAGATACCCATTTTTATTTCCAGGTTCTGAAACACCAGTTATCTTTTCCATTTCTGCAGCACCAATGCCTTCAGACTGTGGTATGTTAAGTATCTGTTTTCTGTGAATTGATAACTTGACTTGTGTCTTATGCCCTTTTTACATTGATGTGGTTTTCTGAAAACATTTTCTATGGGTTTTATAAAGTTGAAAAAGTGTTTCTTTTTCAAAAATACAATTGCTTATTGCATTTTCTGCCTCTTAAGCTAAACTCTTTATATCTGCTATAAACATTTTTATTACATAAAAATGTTAATTTTAAGCACCAAGATAGATTTAGAGGGTTTTATTTTTAGAATGTACTTGTTCTTAGTTAGCCAACATTTTTCTGCTATTGATGTATGTATTTTGGTTAAGTATGCTGACTTGTTAAAAAAAAGCCATGTGTTTAGGCAAAGATGGTAAAAGACTTTTCCTTGGAATGTGACATGAGATTGGTTCCTGTTTGAATTGGTACATGTAATTCTTCTTTGTAGAATGTAAATTTAGAAGCATTCCAGTTTTTGTCTATTTTGACTTATTTCCCTAGGAACATACTTTATCAGGTAATTGATAAATGTACAAAAGAAAATTAGAAGGTAAGCTTGCTAGAATTTGTATATTTCAAATTAGAATTATTCAAGTAAAATATTGTGTTATTTCAAATAATCTTTGGAGACAGGGATAATATAATTTGAAAATGTTAATAGAAAGTTATATTAGATTGGGAATTTGCTTGTTTTATTCATACCCACTTTAGTAATTATTTATTTCCACATGTCCTATTTTTATATTCAGATTTTATAGTTTAACTGTGGCAGTCATCAAAGTATTACCTAAATACCAAATACCAAAGTATCTTAATCCTAGGAGTTACTTATAGCTTTTAACACATCACCTGAGTTTATTTTCAGATATCATAAAGTCAGTTCTTGGGGGAGGCTTGAACCAAACCACATTGTATGTTGCTTATAGCAGTTATTCTACCTTGGATTAGACTTGTCTTATTTCCTTTCCTAAACTATAGGTTTTTAGATGAATAGGAGTCATTTATTTTTACTTATAAAGACTAATGCAGTCATTTGTTGAGATTAGTTGCTCAATGTTTCTTGGATAAACATATTTACTAAAATGTGGTAATGGATATTAACTCCTTTGTACAGCTGAGATTAAACATTGCTTATAATCTTAGGGTGACGTGGTCTTTGAATCTGTGTAGACCTGTGGTTCACATTTCCCTATGCAGTTCCCAGTATTTTCCCATTTGCAAAATCTCTGACAGATGGCCATTTAGCCACCTCCGTGTCTTCAATAATGAGAAACTAATGAAACAATTAATTCCATTGCTAAAAATCTTTAGTTGTAATAGTTATTTTTGAATATGACTCAAAATATGTCTTCCTTATGTGCATTAGGGCAATAATGTTAAGAGAAATAAATTTAACACATAAGCTTAAATATTGCATGATTTCTTTTATATGAGAAACACAAAGTATAAATAAATGGAAGAGCAAGATAAACAACAGATAATAGGAAACAGGGAGATAGAGCTTTGGAAAAAGGAAGTGAACCAAGAAATGGAGGAGGAGCAGGGCCAGGAAAGAGGACTGGGTGAAAAAAGAATCAGAATGTGTTATGTACATGAATTAGCTCCCAAAGAAGCCTGTAATGATTATGTGCTCCAAATGTAGACTGATAAAAGTAAAAAAATATGTCATCCTGAAACGTTAGGCAGCTGGTATTAATTTGATATGTATAAAACCCACTTCTTTATATGATAGCCTTTCAGTTTTTGCACATAATATGAACATTTTTCTTAGACTATTCTTTCTTCATTAGTGCATTTCTACTTCCCACATCAATCCCTTGGGAGGAATTCCAGACACTTTTTATCCTACTTGTTAGTAGTCTGATATCAGTGTCCCCCTAATCACTGAGGCTTACGTCTGGATCTAGCTGACCCATCACTTTTCTATGGTAAATTTGTACTTAGTGTTATAGTAGTCACCTGTGTGTCTTAGTACATTTCATTGAGGGATACAGGATGCGAGTTATGTGTTTACTCACTTGGTATGACAAATGGTAAGGAGTATGCATGTGTGCAAGGGTCAGAACAGGATTTGGATCCACCTTTATGCTCTGGCTAACTGGCTTTGCATATGTTTGACTGAGTATCACAGAGGGTCCAGGAGACCCACACTACTCCTGGAGCTGTTAAAATTTTTTTTCTTTTACTTTTTCTGGTAGAAGTAGCTCAATTTAGTATATTGACACATGAAAATCCAGGTTTCAAGTTTTGGAGGAGGTCACAGTGAATCATCAGATGACTCATGCATAAATGCTGAAGATGATCCATTATGGTAAAATGGTAACAGAAGAGTGGTGTTGGTCAATGATGGCGATGAAAATGACAGTGACAAAAAGACAACTTTGACATTGGCCATGTGAGCCAGTTCCTGTGAAAGTAAAATGGAGCAGGTATTGACTGATATGGACACAGGAACTACAGATCTCCTTGATTCAGATGACGAAGAGAACAGTGCTGTGACCACAAATTTGACTAGTGGGAATGTTGAGAAGTGGCCATGCAACCAAATGGAATGATCCAGTGGTAGAACTAGGTCTTTTAAAATATCCTGAAGATCTTGGCAGGGGTGAAATGTATTGGACAGAATGCCAGCACTGAATGCCATAACAGATTAAATGCTCCAAGATGCTGTGAAATGCACAAAGGCTAAACTGCAAGCAATACATTCTGTAGGCAAATGTATTGATGACACCTCACTAGCTGAATTGCAAGTATTCATAGGGCTGCTGTACTCAGCACAAATTTCTCGTGGTGACTGTAAGAATGTCGAATCTTTATGGAAAAACAGTGGATAAAAATATGGAGTAAAACTTTATGCCTCTGTATATGTCAAGACATACTGTTCTTTCAACATAGAAATTTATTCTGGAACTCAGCCTTCAGGTCCTGATTCATATAGTAATAAACCAAATGATGTCATGAACTGAGTTATTGCTCCTATCTCCCAAACTAATCAGAATGTCACATTCAACAATTTTCCAATTGATGTTACATTTGTTAATGGAGGAAAGTTGACCAGCATGGGAACTGTACATAGGAACAAAACAGAGATTCCAAATGAAATGTTGCAATTTCAAAGTAGAAAATTGTATAGGATAAACTTTGAATTTTAGAAAGATATAACAGCCTCACATATGGCAAAGAAAAGCAAACTGGTACTGCTGATGTCCACAGTTCACTGTGATGGGCATATTGATAGGAAAACTGTTACACTTTGGAAGCCAGAGATGGACACTTTCAACAACAAACCTGAATGTGGAGGAGACATTATTGAATTATGCAGCAACTGTGATGTCATTTGAAGTACAAAGTGTTGCCCAATGGTTGTGCTTTACTTGATTCTAAAAATGTGTGACATAAATAGTTTCATAGTTTATAAAGAAAGTAACAAGTTCAAAATATCATGCAGGAATTTTCTTGCAGGATTTGGTCTGGAGTTCATAAGAGGTCATTTATAACAGAAGGAAACAAAATGTTTCTGCCCAGCGAACTATGCAAAAACATTGTGGTGCATACATTCTGGTGTGTTGATCAGGAAACATCCAGGTGCAGCATCACAAAGACCTCCTATAACAGCAGGAAAACAAGATATCAACTGTACCCTACAAGAAAGGACAGAAAAAGAAAATGTACATACTATCAGTGTAATTGATATTTGTATGTGGAGCATGCAGTTGTCATGTGTGAAGACAGTGTTGGGTGTGACACTTGAAGCAAAGCTTATTTTTGTGGTAGAGTTCTGTTGGTATTTTCCTTGTAATTCATGTAGGAATTTATTTCTGGTATCTTTTAGGTTTTATGAGTACACAGCTGATGTGAAAATGTGGATGTGTATTCTAATACATACTAAGAATTAAATTCTTAGATTATTATTAAATACATATTAAGAACTAAAAAAATTATTTTGTTGATATTTTGTGTTCCTGTTATTACATTGTGTAATATAACAAGCACCTCCTGACAAAACAGCAAGAACACTGAGAGGGAAAGGCCAGGAAAGCAAAAGATATGCTACTGGTTTAAGTGATATGTGTGTATGGAACATGCTGTTGTCATGTGTGTAGACTGCCCTAGGTGTGATAATTTAAGGATTATTTTTGTAGAGTGTTATTGACTTTTTCATTTAGTTCATATGGGAATTTATTTCTGATGTTCATTTTTAGACTTTGTATAGCAGAAAGCAGTCGATGTTGAAAATGTTGATGTTTTTATAAATGCTCAAAAATATTAATATGCAATACTTTATTTTTGTGATTTTTTTCCTGGTCAGTATTCATAGTTTAATATAATAAAACTCATAAATTAAAATTAATAATTCATCACTACAAATATTCTAAAGACTATATATCTGACAGACCCATGTTTATGCACCTTGATGACAAAGTTAGTCTTTTGGTCCAAGCCCTACATTGTGTGGTGCAGAAGTACATTTAGCAAGCATTTATCAAGGACCTCTTATGTGCTGGGTTTATTACTGTGTACTGGAGTTGCTCCAGTTACTAAGACAAGGAGACTTCTGGGAAGATGGCATAGTGGTGAGCAGCAGAGAAAAATCCTCTCTGAGATTTGGTATCTGGATGCTGGAATATATAGCAATATGAGGAAGAGAAGAAGGAGGGAAGTGGGTCCCCTGGACCCAGGAAGAATCTGAACCAAGGGTTGAAGCTCATGGAGAGGGAAGAGAGACTTCAGTGAGGAAAGAGGAGGTGACAGTTGGCCATTTCTCCTTGAGCCTGGACTCACTGTGTGGGAGGGGCAGCTTGAACTGGTAGGCTCATGCTGACTACTGATGACTTTAGAGGCCTCTGTGGGGAAACATACAAGTGGAATATAGCAGTGGATACTGGATTGCAACAGCTGGTGAGTTATTTGTGTTCAGAAGACGGGACAGCTGACCTCAGAACTCAGAACAGTTGCAGGCTGGCTCCATCGCGCCACTCCTGGTGTCAGGGGAGGAAGCTGAGTTCAAGCTGC